GGGGACGAGAAACGGCTGGAAGCGAAGCCACCACCGGAGCCGAGGCAGCGGAGAAATCGCCTTGCCGCCCTGTGCTTCTAGGGCTCTGCTTTCACCTCCGATAGCGGCTCTCCAGAAGAGGCTCCTTTCAGCCTCTCCCGACGCCCCGCCCTCTGGCCCACCGCCCCACCCCTCCGTCTCAATCTTGCCCGCCGGCCGTCACTTCAGGCTAAGCTAAAAAAGAACCGCGTGACGTCCAACAGCGCGTTTTCTGTTTTCCGTCCTAAAAAATACAGTCTGAGAAAGATGTTGCTGGTTGCGAATTCCCGTTAGAGCAGACTAGTAACTTACCTAAATCTGGAGGATCTTTAATTAGAAGTCCGATCTTTGGAGGTGGGGGTCTTAATAGTGCAACAGCCCACCCCCCTTTTAAAAGCAGGCCTTCTATAAATCAAGTTAGCCTATTTTTCACGATATTTTATTTGAAAGAAGAGGAAATAAAAGCACTAGTAGATAAAACCAATCCATTCAAGGTTTTTCTGGATTTTTAATGTTACTAAATGGAGTGGGAGATTTTAAAAACAGGTTCTGGGGTGACCTGGTCTCAGGCACCATCCTCAGATGAGAAAGAAGAGCAGGAGGATTACCCTGTGCTGTCATAGCCCAGCAAAAAGATGGAACCAAGAACCAAGTCTACCACGCTACCCAAGACACGACAGACTGATCTTGACAAGAACCTCTCTTGCCCAGACCAGAAACACTGCAGTATCAGAGAAGAGAACTATAGAAGGCAGAATCATAGACAGGAGTATTTAGGCACGCTGAGAGCCAGCAGAGTTCATCTATGAGAAATCCAGAAACAGCTAGGTCAACTATGCTTAAGAGGAGCTACTGGCTGTTGCTATTTCTGAAATGGTTTGGCCAAGCTGGAGCCACTTGAACAATGCTGCTATGAGAGCCTAGTATCAATTCCTGTCATGAAGTTTCCTTGTCACTGGACTGTCTCCTGAAATCTAGACCTCGTCTATGTCTGGCTTTCTCTTTCTGTTTGTGCTTCTAAGAAAACCTTCATGTGCATGCACTCAAACTGGATCTGTGATCTAGAAGATAAACCTGACATTTCAATTACAATTAATGACAGATAAACACTTTTGTCTGTGAGGCCTAGACAGGTCCTCAGAAGGTAGCAGTATCTGTTATCCTCCCTAAAAGGTATTCACAGACTGAGGGCTACCATTGATAAGACACTCTTTTCTGTCTCCATCCTCTGTGCCTCGGTTGATGGGCTTCAGCAATAATGAGAGCTTCAGTGACAATACAGGCAGGCTCAGGGGAGGCATAGATGATTATTCATATATCTCACTTCCAGGCTCTGAAGGGTAGCCCCAGCCTCGTTAATTACAACAGGAAGTGGACAGGAATCAGTGTAGCTATTTAAGCACCGAAAAGTATGCCCCAAATATTCACTCTCGTTTACCAATCCACAAGAGTCTTCCAAGGCAGTCCCTCATATAATATTTTGCTGTAGTGTATCCTGGGGGTTTCAGGATATGAACAACAATGGCAAGGCTAACTCTATTTAGACAAGGAAAGAACCAATCCGTCACTGAGCTATGAGAAGCCACATGGCTCTCTAATAATAAAGCTGTAGCAATTTATACCCTAAACTGCAGATTGTGGTCCTTGAAAAGGAGTAAGTTCAGCTCCAGACAAGTTCAGTACCAAAAGGAGGAAAAATCCTACCCATGATCAAAATCTAATCCCAGAAGGTGCCTTTGTGTGACCATTGAATCCTTTAAACTAAAGTGACAGGAGAGGAGTAGGAGAGTTGACAGAACTTACACCCAATGTATTCCGCAAGTTCAGGAACTGGATAAAGTCAGCTGTTTTTCCCATTCTTTCCTTTGCTTCAGAAAATGGAAGAAAAATGCCCCACAGTGGAACTTACTTATATGGCAATTTCAGGCTGTGGCTTTAGTTCTAATTGGTACTTGCATAAAAACGGCCCAACACTAAAGTTGAGGCTAGGTGAGGAACTTTGCTTCATTCAATTTTCCATTTATATATATGGCTTTCAGTTTGTATGGGGGACTACTTTCTTTGCCATAGAGGCTACCCTACAAATTCTGCTTCCTCAGGTAGAACAATGAATAATCTCCACTATCTGATGTATAACATTTAGGAATCAGAGGGAAAGGTTCCAAAAAAGGTCAGTTAACTCAATAAGAGAAAATCTCATAGAAAACCTGAGAAAATGTCAACTCGTTTTGTAAAATGTTAACATTCAGTTGAAAGAAAAAGATTTTCCTTCATGGTTTACAACTACATTTTGAACTGTTGTTTTTAATTTATCCACCCCAGACTGTAAAAATACTATGTCTAGTCATTGCTGTTTTTTCCTAGCATCCCAAATTATCTGCCTGTCCTGAGGTCATCAAATATTACAGGTCAAATTCATTTTGGAGCTCTAGCTATAAATTCATGAGTTAAGTGAGATCATCACTAACAGCCCTGTTATTATGGTCTTCTCAGTGCCTCAAAAAGAGGGGGTGGCTTGGAAAATGTACTGCAAGTTCAGAACATCTGCACATTCTTCCATTATCTGGAAAATAGATACCTAGATTTCCTGTTCATCAAAGGGTCATTACCAAGAGAATGAAGAAAGCTTTGCCCTAGCAAACTCAAAGATCATTTGGGTCCTAGAAGTGAAAGTGTTCCATTGTTGATTGATGGAATCTAATCCCTTTTCTCTTTTAATAAATGAGGTTAGAGAAGCCCAAGGGCACCTGCAGGATGAGCATGTGGTCAGAATCTGTAAGATGGCAGGTTCAATGTTCCAATCAATACCCCACCCCGTTTGTACAGTATGTGGATGCATGTACAAAAGGAATGGGGCTTCAATCATGATTCCATGCCTCTGGAAGTGCCACTGCGATAATGTTTTAGGACATACTTGGCTCTAAAGAGTTTCATACATAGGTAATTTGTTCTATAGCTCTCAGGTGGCATATAAGGAAAAGCATACCCAAGTTCACCTCCCAACTAACACAGTACTTCAGGACTACAATAACAGTTAAAAATAACAGCAATTCTGCAAGATAATACAAAGGTGATACATTTTTCCATATAATCTTTACCAAATAGACTCTCAAGACTGCACTTTATGATCCTGGCCCTGGAGGATATGGTTGCATAAAGCTAAATAAGTTGGTCATTTCTCATGAGACAATAGAATGTTTAATCTGTGTGCAGCCGAGAATGACAGGCATTGATAATACTTTGAAAAAAACAGAGGTTCTAAACAGTTCTAACTGTTACCAAGGTACCAGCAACATTGACCATATAAAGAAAAGAAAGAGAACAAAGAGTTGGACCAAAAATGGTAAGTGAACGATGGGGCTGGGGGAGGGGCAGGGGCAGGGAGCAGTGGAATGTATAAACAGGTTAATAACCAAATCTAAAAAAAAATGTAAATTATTTTAGAAAGGCAATTGCTACTATTAAAAAGTGAGAAGGAGCAAAAACAGAATAAAAATCTCCAGCTCCATCGAAGCATAGGGATTTACATTACAGAATAAGGATTTAGCAGCCTCAGCTTAGCGAAAGTCTCTCTTACTTGCAACTCCTTGAGCAAATAATGCTATAAATTAGACCTCTCTTTAACAAAAAGAACAATGCAGGCATTTCTTCCATCACTCTTTCTCATTCATAGGACTGGAGCTGCTGTAACATCAGTCAAAGATGTAACACAAAACACATCTTCATACTTTGCCTAAGGTCCTCACTTGTTCCCATTAATGAGGAATGAGCTGGCTTCATGACAAACAGTAGGCACTAAAACAAGGCCAACTCCATAGTGGGCAAGAGTTTCTGCCTAGGAAAGGAGTTTTTATTTGTAGGAAAAATTATTTATCATTTTAAAAAATATCTTCAAAGTCCATTTCAGAAAAAAAAGCCTAGCTTATGGCTTTTTTCAAGCAACTTTTGTATCAGAAGCTTTTATTTTGTAAGACAGTCTGAGTTGATCACTGATAAAAAGAAAGGAGAATATGACTGCAATTGTTATAAAATGATAACAGGTAAACACTTCATGTGCCCTAAGTAGTTCCTAAAAATTATACTTTTCTTTTAAACTTCTGTGGATTATTTTATGTCATGTTCTTATTCTAATTATTGGCTGTATACATTAAATGCTTTATTGTATTTATCATTTAAAACAGAGTCTATAGCAAGCAGACCAGAGCAATAGGCTCCACTCCCAGAAATTTTCTGAGTCTTCATACCTTAGCCTGACCTCCTGCTCCAGGATAGTGGCTTGATAATTCCACTGATATAATTTATCTTCCAAATGGGCTCCTTACTTGATGCCCTCACCCAGTGAGTATGAGAGAGAGTGGTCCTGCATCCTTGCATATAAAAAGATAATAATTAAATACTTGATAGGGTGCCATTTCCTAGCATTATAGTGTCAAAGCACGTGACTAAAGGAATCAGCCCCCCCTACACACACACACACTATTGGGAGATAGATCAATCTCACAACAGATAAAGAAAAATCAAACTTTATTTAAAAGAAAAAAGAAAAAAAGAGAAATATATAAAATGGTGTTATACTTTTTTAAAATATAAAGTAAACTTGTAAATATGTAATGTGGTAGTAGCAAGCATATACAGCTGCTTAATTTACAATATAGAGCAGCTGGCAAATTGGTTAGCCTAAAAAGTCCAAAAGACCAGAAGATGTCACCAATCTGTTACAATTATCCCAGGCTCTGAGTCTGACAAAGCT